TATCATAGCATACGTTTAGGGCTTCGGCCGATTGCATGTGCGAGGTTGGGAGCTCACAGCAACAGACGATAGCTGGTTAATGTCAATAACACCATGTTTGTGTATCATTATTATTATTATTATTATTATTATTATTATTATTATTATTACCATCATTATAATTATCATCATCATCATCATTATTATTATATATGTTAAGCGAGTTCGTAATTAAGTGCGATAAACGTACGTAATAAGTAATATTTACGTACACGGGGTAAATATATTGTATTAGTCGCGTCAAGTCATAATGGTCAGTGGCAAGCACTTAGTGTCTATAATATAGTGTATATATATATATATGTGTGTGTGTGTGTATATAGTGTATGTAATAACACATTTATGATTCTTTACATACACACGCGCGCGCACGCACGCACGCATGCACACACACACACACACGCACGCACGCACGCACGCACCCACGCACGCACGCTCGTACACACGCACCCTAGCGCGCAAAAGGCGTACACAGATAGTTACTTGTTCAGTATATCGCTCGCTCTCTTCTCTATAACTAGTAAACACGCGAATCAGTAACACGCGCTGATCTATTTTTGAACGAACACTAGTCTATTATGAAGACAGCCATGGGAGCACGGAACTACGAACTCACCAAACACATAGCGCATATAAGAACGCATACATACACACAAATACACACAAATACACGTGTACACATGCACACACATACCTATGCACGCACGCACGCACGCACGCACGCACGCGAACACACAAGGACACGTACGTACGTACGTACGTATGTACACACACACACACACACACACACACACACACACACACACACACACACACACAACACACACACGCGCGCGCACGCGCGCACACACACACACACACACACACACACACACACACACATACACATACACACAGTAACAGCAGCAGCAGGATGAGCAGCAGCAACTAGATTCTCTATTACACATCGTCTAGACATGCTTCTCATCTCACTCACCGGCGGGTGTCGCCGTGACGAACTCGACGCTCGCATCGTGCCGCGCACTGCCGGCGACGAGCGACGTGTTTCTCATCGCCCGTCGGCACGCCCGTAGCTCAGCTCCGTCGCTCTCGTAGCTCGCATGAAAGCCGACGGCACATTCGCACAGTCCGCTCGTCGACGAACAGTAGGAGTTCTGCACCGTGCACGCGTTGCGGCACGTCTGCGGCGGTGCGCCAGCGTCGACGTGCAGCTCTCGCTCCTCACATGCTCCTGCAATCGACCAATCATAGCTACAGAAGCGGCGGACTTACGTCGGTGGGCTCCGGCGCCGTGTTATGGCTGATACGCTGGCAGCGTAGCCTGCGCCCCCTGTAAGCATACACGATATCCATGCAATCAACAGCGGGTATACACACGGCGCTCGGGAATGTTATGCAAGCACACACCGAGTGCGTACTCGTTTGCATCCCGAAAGTTCTAACTACGCGAAAAGTGTACACACGCGCGCAGTAACCATGGCAACGTGTAAATGGTTGTAAAATGCTGGTCATTATTACTGAGGAGCGAAACCGTGCGTTGACACTCAGGCGTCAAAGTCCATGAATGATTAAATACTGCGATAACGAGCTCTCAAAACAAAGATTTGAACTTTAAACGTTATCAATATATTATATTTTAGGTAAATCCAAGTAGTTAATTTGTTCGCAACAGTTTCGAAAACTGACTTTGATGCCGTTGTCAGACCGAATGAAGCGGCTAAAGTTGTTTTTAGGGATTTATCGTGAAATGAAATTACTCTTATATACATTATCATGAAATTTGTTGAACGCTTTACAAGAAGGAACGCATCTTTTCCCGTCACACAGTACGGTATATAGGCCCTACACTGCCAGGGATACGGACAAGTCACAGTCTGACGCCGATAGCTAAAACATACAATAAACTTCGCTTCGAGCTTGGGCAAATCAATCACATTGAACAAAAATGGAAATGAGTTGAGCAGAGGAAGCAATCCAAGGGTAAAGTGGAATGTTTCGCATTAAGATCGATCATCGTTGACCGTTCGCGCTGAAACCTCGGTATGCAAATTCGTCTCGTGTTGAGCCTCTACGGATTTTCGGTAACATTGCCATGTGACGTCACTCGCACCTGAGGCAATGGATGAAATCAGGGTAAACTGTGTCGCGAAGCGCAGTGCAGACTGGGACAGGAGGTTCCTAATGGTCTAATCCGCCCTTTATTTTGGTTTTACTGCGAAAATTCATCAACAGTGCATACGTAAATCGATAGTTACTTGTGAAAAACGGTGGTAGCAGATCATGGGGCAGAAATGGGGGGGGGGGTGCAGAGGATGGGAGTAAACTGTGGTAGCAATTCCCATGAAGGCAGATGACGTGGCTACGAGGGTAGATGATGGTGTAGTGGGGTGGGCTATAAGACTAGATTATTCGGGCGAGCATTAGTAGGGATGCCAGGTTAGGCACTGCTGCCACTGCTACTGCTGCGGTTGCTGCTGCCACTGCTACTGCTGCTGTTGCTGTTACTATTGTTGCTGCTGCTGCTCCTACTGCTGCTGCTGATGTTGCTGTTAGTACTTCTGCTGCTGCTATTGCTATTGCTGCTGTTGTTATTGTTGCTGTTGCTGCCGCAGCTGCTGCTATTTCTACTGCTGCTGTTGATGTTGCTGTTGTTGTTGCTGCTACTACTACTGATGTTGCTGCTGCTGCTGCTGCTCCTACTGCTGCTACTGCTGTTGTTGTTGCTGCTGCAGCTGCTGCTATTTCTACTGCTGCTGTTGCTGCTGTTGTAGCTACTGCTGCTGCTGCTGCTGCTGTGGTTGTTGCTACGACTACTGCTACTATCAGGAGTAAGATAATATAGGATCCTATATTATCTTACTCCTGCTACTATCAATGCTGCTGCTTCTGCTCTTGATGGCGGCGGTGCTGCTGCTGCTGCTGCTGATGCATGTAATTTGTCAGTTAACACCCGTGCTCACAGCTGCTGCATTTCGTGCCCCATGTTTGATCTTATGTGGCGAACAGCTCAAGGTCTAAAGTAAGAAGAGTTGGCCGCGCGGTATGGAGGATCGCAACCCTGCTCTAAACTGAAGTTGATGGATAGATATGGCAGAAGTACGTATACATCCTCCACACTACCGGCTACATGTTTCGTAACAGCGATGTGAAACTATGCTGCCAAATGAGAAATAGTGTATACACACACACACACACACACACACACACACACACACACACACACACACACACACACACACACACACACACACACACACACACACACACACCAACAAGTATACGATTATACCGAGTTCGAGGATAAGCCAGCATGTGTCAGCGACCGCACGCAAGCCGACAGAGCCAGGCGATTACTGTATAGCAGAAAACGATAAAACGCTAAATTCCCGAGACTAGGAAAACAAGAATTCCAGAAACTACTGCTATGTACTACTGGCCCAAGCCGTGCTGCTCTCACAGTCCGCATGCGCATTGATGACCTGCCAGGGTGACTGACCAACACTCGGTTACTTATCCAACATCTACGAACTCGTACTTTAAATAGACCGGAACCATATTCGCGGCATTTTGATGAGCTCATTTGTAAATGTCTGTCGACATCTAAGACTAAAGATCGCAGTCTGGATCGACTTGTGAAACTATTTCCCGCTGTGCGACGGCATCGGTTTTATCAACGCATGAGATGAGAGCTAGGGGGCTATACTTGTGAAGTATTCAGATTGATGAGGCGCAAAAACGAGACTCGAGGAATGTGTTTATGAAATTAAAACACACGGATAGACGCGCTCACACCAGAACAGCCTGCAGCACT